CAAACACTTTCTCACTAAAAATGCCGTATTTGTTTTCATGAAGGGGGTTGGGGGGGGTCACTGCACTTTAACTGCTTAGCTGAACTCAGCTGTGTTTTAAGACTTTTATGTCATAAAATAGGCTTCTGCTCTGTTTCCCGGGTAGAAGATGTAACGTCTCCGACAAACATGTAAGTCCAGACAACATGTTGTGACAGGTCACTTCTGGGTTTGTAAATGCTTCCGTCTAAATGTTAAATATGGGGAAAAAAGCAGTACGGACTTGAGATATGTGGAAGTTAAGCCCGTAGTGATGAGGTTCAACTACAAGAGCAGCACTTGGGGATCCACCGTGCTGAGTCCGCTAAGGCCCTGGGCTCGGGCGACCGGGGAGAGGAGGTCACACGGGCCGGGCCCTGCCTGCAGATTCGTAAAGGACACCAGCACCGTATACATACAGGGGCTCAGGGCCTCCCACCTCACAACTGTGCCCTGCTGACCAAGAGACGGATTCCACAGGAGCAAAAGCAGGAAAAAACACAAAAGCATTCCCAGCGCTGAAAGCCTGCGTGCACCAAGCTCCCATGTTCTCCGTTGGTGGGACAGTAGTGGCTTCATCTTCTTACCCAGACAACAAAAGTCTAAATCCTGCAATTCCATTCCACTCCTTTATTTAGCTTTATGATCACTTGTTATCTGTAACAGGAATCCCTCCCAGCCAGATGCATACAGCTCTGCCTTTTGCCATAACGCTTGGCAAGCTGACTTTTGTTTGAAAATATTAAAAGAAATGGGGATCCCTGGGTGGCGCAGCGGTTTGGCGCCTGCCTTTGGCCCAGGGCGCGATCCTGGAGACCCGGGATCGAATCCCACGTCGGGCTCCCGGTGCATGGAGCCTGCTTCTCCTTCTGCCTGTGTCTCTGGCTCTTTCTCTCTCTCTCTCTCTGTGTGTGTGTGTGTGTGTGTGACTATCATAAATAAATAAAAATTAAAAAAAAATAAAATAAAAAATAAAAGAGAAAGACAAAGGTTTCCTCGCTATGAGAAAATAGACATCCAATTTTAAGAACCCGGAGGATTACAAGCAGCTTTTTCTTTATCTTTTTCTTTATTTTTTATTTTTTTCCTTTTTAAGACTGCTTGATACAAACCAATACAGTGTTTAGATTTCAGGTGTTAAAAAAAAAAAAAAAAGATTTCAGGTGTTACACTAAGGCTCGATATTTTATGAGTTGAAATGATTCGTCACTGTGCATTCAAAAACAAAATATTTACTCCTAGTTCCTTTGAGCTTTTAGTTTTCAATTAAAAATCTGATATTGAATGTATTGAACTATGTTGAATATACTTTATTATTTATTCATACTTATTGAATATATTTTTTTATTTATGCATACTTAACAAGGCATTTTCCTCTCTCGTGATTACTCTTTGTCACATTAAACACAAGACAAGTAGATTACGTTCAGACAATGTGACATGAAGTTTGTACGTTCACGTCATGACATATAGTTCTCATATTTTAATTTCTCCCATTTAAATGTGTTTATTTTATGACACGTCATAACAATAGCTAACACTTTCCGGGTGCTTTCTACGTGCATTCAGTGCACTCTACTCAGTTTGCATCATTTCATCCCCACGGCAACCAGGGGAGGTACTATCACTGTTCCCCTATACAGATGAGAGCACTGAGGCTTGGAGAACTACAATGACCAACCCACAGTTGTGCAGCCAATAAGGGAGGATGCAACCGTGGGCTCTCTGGGGAACGGGATAATAATAAATGTGTTGAGGACCATCTATCTTAAGCACAGTTAATGAGTTGTTAAAAATAAGTCTGGCCATAAAACTGCATTACTTGCCTTTATTCTCAGACACAAAATAATACTTAACAGAAATTCCCAAATCTATAAAGTGTATTAAAGTGAAAACAAATTCTCTGTTCAAAAATATAAACACGGTGGACTCAAATCTCACCGACCTCTATTAAATATTAATCATTTCCTTTGCCTTTCTGCATCTGGGTGGGTTTCACAGAGGACAAAAGAGATAATTGCACAGAAATTATATAAGAAATTATATAAGGCCATATATTCTATTTATAAAACTGACTAGGCATTGTCAGCCACTCACTACCAGTGTCTTTAACAGTACGATGGCTTTATAGTTGATATTTATCTTTTAGTAAAAAGTATAAATCACTGTTTATTCCCTGAAGCTAACCTCACTCATGCTAAATTATTTATGGATCCATTTTAATATGTATTTTGCATGTGACAGGACAACTCTCCTTAGGACCCCTTTCCTGACCCACCTGTCATTATGACGGGGTAAACAATGTCACCTTTCTAGCGCACAATGAATTACAAAGAAGTTGCAAAGTACACCATCCATCATGCTGGCACTAAGTAGGTTTTCGAAGTAGATCTCAGATATCACAAATGCTGTTTAGACCGTTACCAGAAAGCAAAAATTGGAAGCTTATACAAAGTGGTCATATGATGAATGGACATGACAGCTCTTCAAAGAGAAGGGGCACTCCTCTTCCACAAATAACCTTGTCAAAAGCAAAAGTAGTGGGGAGCCTTGCTGGCAGTCAGACCAGAATAATTTACGCACTTGTTAATGGCTCAGCCTGATAGAAATTCATGCAAATACAATGTACTCAAAATCAAAAAGTAGGTATGTCTGAATCATCATCAGCAACCTCTCAAGCTTGATTTTAATTAAGAATGGTCTGAAGAGATACGGAAAATCACCCACATTCTGTTAGTTAGAATATGTGAGTTTTAATGGCACATCAGTCTAGAACATGTATATGAAATATATGCAAATATTCTACACGCATATAAAATAGTCACCTAGAAATTGCTTTGCTTTTGAAAGTCATAATGCGTGGCTTGAGCTTTTAGAAAATCAACATCAATAAATTTATTGATGTAAATATTTAAATTATTATGTACTTAGTATATTAGATTTGAATTATTAATATAATCCCAAAAATAGTTATCGTTAGTGTCTTCATCTAATTCGCATGGTTGATTTCTCAAATTATGTTCTTCAAATACAAGGTGTTTGTGTTATCCATAATTGCATTTTAGTTCCTTTAACACTGCTCCCTTTTAGTTAGGCCTATATTTCAAACCTAAAATCTATTTCTACATTGACAGCTACGTTTATTTTTTTTCCCTTTTAAAGCTTCTTCAAATCTTTGTCAATACTTCTTTATTAAAAACAACAGACTTACAGTATTTGTAAGTGGCGGACGGTCCCAAAATGACTTACGTCTTCCTGGGCATTTAAGTAGTTCTATGATTCTGTAGTAGACTTTGGTTTCTTTTAGAGGAAACCACGAAAATTCAAACATTTATAACTGGTAAGATAAATGTGTAGAAAACTCTCAGAGATGTAGCTACAGGGGAACACAGAAAACCAACCAACCCAATTGCCCAGGGGATTAGTAGAGGGCCATGCTGAGGAAAAGAGGGACACAGTTGCGATTTCATGGCTTTTCCATATCTCCTGGGTCAAGGAATAATAAGTAATTTGCCAGAGCAAACTGAAAAGCAAATAAATGGGGGTGATTCCAGGGACCGACTTGAGCTCCTGGGGTTTTTATTGTTGATCTGTGTTTGGGACATGTTTTGTTTTAAGGCCCATTGATTACTGCGCTGAATCAATGGGAGTTAAGAGGGTGCTGGAAATGTGTGGGGCCAAAGAAGCTTTGGGAGACCAGAGCTTCTGAACCAACAAAAGAGGGCTGGCGGGCTCCCTCCCATCATTGCTATCAGAAACAGTACCTATTAATCAAATCAAGTTACACGAGTCCCACCTTACAAATATTACACACATCTAATATTATAATAGCTTTTAACCAATCGTAAGGCTTTCCATGGCAGTGGTTATTATGCACTAAAAGTCAGAGGATGATCCACCAGAATACGAATGACGCTGAACCACCAGTAAAAGAACTCTCCCACCCTTCCAACAACTAGAAATCAAACTAACCAAAAAAGCAAGATTGTATCTGTGAAGTCACTTCAAATAATTTAAATATTTAATATATTAATCAGAGCTAATACAAGAGAGTCTTACAAAGCTGTGCCAATAATCAACAACAATCAGAAACATGGTATTATTCCATTTGTCTCAAAGGAGGCAATCGAAAGGCTTGTAAAAATAATAACTAAATGTGTGTATTAAAAAGGTATTTTTACATGGAGACAGAAAATGTGCCTTTAACAAAGGAAAGATGGCCAATTACTTGTATCTAACTGGTATATCGTCTCTACTGTGGGCCAGGCTCTGTCCTCCCAGGTTTCATATATCACCTAGTTTAATTTTCAGAACCACTTTATAAAGTTGGCACTATTATTATCCCCATCACGGAAATGAGGGAACTCAGCCCTAGATGGGTAAGTGGCAGTGGGTAACCAGGGACTCAAGATTTGAAACTAGGCTATGTGGCCCAGGAAGCCACGCACGTCAGCTCCAAGCCAAAAGAACTGGCTAAGCCAGAAAAAGTAAAGCACCTGGGCCCTTTTCTCCTGCGTTTTCCACCAAGAAGGCAGAAGCCTTGTATTTCAAACCCTAAATCTGTGAATAGTCACATCCATTTTACACTTCATTTCTTGTCTGCGCACCCAACCTCGAACACAACCCGCCTCCGTTTCTATTCCTTCTGTCTGTGTCATCAGTCCATTAAAATTTGCCTCCTCAAGAACCCAAGAAGGAGATGAACTTGTCCAATCCCAATCTAGCAAAATGTGAATGACTCAGTCACCCGTTCAACACGTTCGAATTAAATTCTTCCGACGTGTTTTCGCTTTCAAAATATGACAAGACAACAAGGTCAGGCGATCCCAATCATCCTTCCCCTTCCCTGGCACCTCCACGCTGAGGCCATTTAATGGTTACTTTCTCATGCTGCATCTTGCCAGGGAGTTCAATTTAGATGAAAGCTGTTGTTTTCTAATTCCATTTCACTGTAAAATGACAGAGACAAACGGTCGTATTACCTCGAGAGTTCCTTTGGCAGAATAGGCTGCGTATGAGTAGAGCAGGTCTTGGCCGCTACGCGTCCTGGCTTCCTCGCTGCAGGGCCGGCCGCTAGGATGGAGGCATTGGCCGCTGCTGCTCAGAGTCACAGAGCTGGCCACCGGGCCCGGCAGGTTGAGCAGCACAGAGTAATTCACAAACTGTACGTCTTCTAGGCCCAAAGCGGTCCAATGAGTCTTGATCTTCTTTGAAATCTCTGTGTCATCTTCACTTTTATACAGTTGTACCAAATTTCTGAAAGAAATAAAAAAAAAAAAACACGCACACACTCTAAAAAAAAATAAAACGAAAAATATTCTGTTGAGTTATAACCATTGAATATATGAACCATTAGGAATAGATGCAGGATATGAAGGATGAATGGGGACAGGACGCCAGGTAAGAAACACAGTTTGTTGGAGGTGATGAGCCTGCAGAGAAATTACACCGAATCAAAGCAGAATGAATTAAGTTCTTAAATTAAGAACTAATAAAGCACGATGGGATTGCAGGGGAAAAGAGTGATTAACGCCAACTGGTTCTTTTATTAGTTCTGATCTTTCTATGGATATCAACATAATCCATTTAAAACTCAGTTCCAAAATTAGGAGTCGTGCCGGTGGAGACAGTTTTGTATTGCGATTAGTGTGACTCCATATAGAGCTATGTGATGAATCTATAATTATTGCTTTTTAAAATGATACAGAGAGGACACTTTTGATACAATTACATGCCAAATTTCATGAGACTATGAGCACACTGATATGCAATAAAATCTGTATATCATGGCAAAACCAACCACAGATTATCAAATCAATAAGAAATTAATTTTTGTGTGTACTTGCTGTAGTCCATATATTTATTCCCACGCCTCTTCTGAAATCCAAAGAAAGGGAGACAGAACAGGAGAGACTCCTAACTCTGGGAAATGAACTAGGGGTGGTGGAAGGGATATGGGCAGGGGGTGGGGGTGACTGGGTGATGGGCACTGAGGAGGCACTTGATGGGATGAGCACTGGGTGTTATTCTCTATGTTGACAAATTGAACACCAATAAAAAATAAATTTCTAAAAAAAATCCAAAGACACTTTTTGTTAGTGACTTTTTTTGCTTATGACATCCTAGAAGCCAAAAATATTTCTAAAAAATATATATATATATGTGTGTGTGTGTGTATATATAAATATATATATATGAACAGAACATAGAATAAATTGGACATGGGAAATTTAAAAATAATAATCCAGTAAAATTTGTTTTGGGCTGGGATGCAAAGGGACCAGTTTCTTTTTTGGGGAAAAAAAAAAAAAGGATCTTCTTAAAAAAAAAAAAAAAGGATCTTCTTATAAGAAGTTTATTGCTATCCAAAAAATTGGCTAAATGAATATTACCTAACTGGATAGTATGTTTATTTTGGCTCATCCCATTATTTTTCTCACACATACTTGATTCTTTATGACCTTATTTATTCAATAACCCCCAAATGAAACACATCTGGAAAACGAATATGGAATATCCGGATCGGGAAAAAATACATAATATGATAGTGTAGAAAAGCATTACTGGAGACAAAAAAAAATAGGGCTGTTGACACAGCTAAAAGCAAGAAAATGCAATAATAAATAATTTCCCAATTTTTTCTCAGTTATTTCTCTTTTTTTATGATTTATTTATTTATTCATGAGAGACACAGGGAGAGAGGCAGAGACACAGGCAGATTCTGAAGCAGGCTCCCTGTGGGGAGCCCGATGTGGGACTCGATCCCAGGACCCTGGAGTCACAACGTGAGCTGAAGGCAGATGCTCAACCACTGAGCCACCCAGGTGCCCCTCTCAGAGTTATTTCTATTTTTTTTCTTAATAATGTATTTTGACAATGATCAATGCCATGCAAATGTTATGAAAGAGCTGATTGAAAGAAGTTCAGTTTATATTCCGAATAAGACCGGTCTGCCTTCCGGTTTTGTGTGTGTGTGTTTGGCAGGGGAGCCGTTTTGAATCATTGACAAATAAAACTTCATATATTTAAAGCGTACAATACTATTTGATCTATATGTACGTTATGAAATTATGACAATCAAATGAGCACATACATGACTTCAGCAGCTACCTTTATGTGTTGTGTGTGTTGAGCACGTCTAGGATCTCCTCTGTTAGCAAATTTGAAGTATACAATGGAGAATTATTTTTTTAATGGAGCATTATTAACTGTAGTCACCAGGCTGTACGGTAGATCCTCAGAAATTATCCATCTTATAGCTGAAGGCTTAGCTCCCCTGGACCAGCATCTCTCCCTCTGCCTCATCCCCAGTCGGTTGGTAACTCCGGTTCTACTCTGTTACGATGAGTGTGTTTCTTGGGTTCGTTTCTGATTACACACATAAGTGATGCTCTGCAGTATCTTTCTCGGTCTCTGTGCTATTGTACGTATCCTCTGAGATATCTACGTTATCCCAGAAAGCATGATCTCTTTTTTTTCAAGGTTGAATAATATTCCACTGCACATCCATCCCACGTTTTCTTTATCCAGTCATTCATCCATGAGCACTTGGGTTGTCTTCATACTTAGGCTATTGTGAACAATGGGGCAATGAACACAAGTGCAAATATCTCTTCTAGATACTAATTTAATTTCCTTTGGATACGTACTCAGGAACGGATTGCTAGAACATATGATGGTTCTAGTTTTAATTTTTGAGGAACATCTATACTCTTTTCCATAATGGCTGTACCAGTGTAGATTCCCACTAACTGTGGACAAAAGTTATCTTTCCTTTACATCCCCACCAGCATGTTTTGTTGTATGTATGTATGTATGTATTTATTTATTTATTTATTTATTTATTTATTTATTTATTTATTTATTTATAGTAATAGACATCCTAACAGGTGTAAGTAAGGTGATATCCTGTGGTTTTGCTTTGTGTTCCCTGATGATTAGTGATGTTGAGCACCTCTCATGTATCAGTTGGTCATTTGTATATTCTTTTTGAGAAATGTCTATTCAGATCCTTTGCTCATTTTTTTTTTATTTTTATTTATTTATGATAGTCAGAGAGAGAGAGAGAGAGAGAGAGAGACAGAGAGAGAGAGACAGAGGCAGAGACATAGGCAGAGGGAGAAGCAGGCTCCATGCACTGGGAGCCCGACGTGGGATTCGATCCCGGGTCTCCAGGATCGTGCCCTGAGCCGAAGGCAGACGCTAAACCGCTGCGCCACCCAGGGATCCCTTTTGCTCATTTTTTAATTGGACTATTTGCACAGTTTTTTTTTTTTGGCTACTGTATAAATTTATACAATTTATAATTGTATAAATTCCTTAGAACCCCTTGTCAAACATATGTTGTATAAATATTTTTGTTCAATCCACAGGTTCTTTTCATTTTCTTTGTTGTTTCCTTTGCTGTGCAGAAGCTTTTTAGTTTGAGGTAGCCTCATTTGTTTATTTTTGCCTTGTTGCCTTTGCTTTTGTTGTCATATCAATAAAAAAAAATGACTGCAAGGACCAATGTCAAGAAATATTCCTTTTCTTCTAGTTCCTGGTCAGCCTGCAGCACCCTGGCAGTGGTGGTGATATTGGTATCGGATGTATGAGCACCCACAGAGCGACCACAAAGCCAGGGTCTAGAGTATAGGCACTTAAAGAGTGATAGTGGCTCCCAAGCTCCAGAGCTCTGGTAAGCCCACAGCAGTAGTGGCTCCGGCGCCTGAGCCTCAGGCATATACAGAGTGTCAGCTATGTCCAAGCCTGAATTGTGGCGACACGTAGAGCAGCCAAGGCTCTGGGTTTGGGGAATGTGCCTGGGTGGGATGTGGAGGCAGCCATGGTCCAATGGATTGTGCGGTAGTAGCTCTTCCCAGTATAAGAGGGGCATGGTAGGATCTCCCTCTCCTTGGAATCTGCAGCAGCCTCTGTTTACCTCAGGGGTGGAAGCTGTTGGCGTCCTCTGAGGACCAGGCCACTGAAGCCTGTACCAACGAACATCATGGGGTCTCCACGGTGAACCTATGGGGAGTCTGTGGCTGAGGCCCTCAACAGGCAAAGACTGCTCGAGTCCTCCACGGAGTTGGCCACTGGGAACCATGGTGGCATCTGCTGCATGGTTGATACCAACAACCTCTACCTTTCTTCCTGGTTCCTAACCATTTCTGGATGTCTCAGCTAAGCTGATCTCCTCAATCCTTTCTGTACAGTTAATTCCCATCTCTGGCTCCACTGTGTTGTTGTATATTCTTAAGTGGACTCTTGAGCCCTCCCACAGCTATTTGGATTCTTGGATAGTTAATTATTTCTGGGGAGATGAAGATTGGTATATCCTACTCCCTCATCTAGGTGTCTATCCTGTTCTTTTGTTCCTTTATCTGATTTCCGTACCCCCGTCCTCTTACTTTAGTGCTACTAAAATTCTCTCTGCACTACTTGGGATAGGACAGGTAAACTGAGTTGAAACTTAGTTTGAAGAGAAAGTTATTTAGAAAAACCTATCAAGAGCATTCTTTTGTAATATGCATAGAGTTGCAGAATGCATATTTATGCAAATTTATCTGTATACGGTCAAAAGTCATAGAAATAAAGAAATTTCAATTTGTTTTTTTTTCCTCTTTTACCCAGTTAATTGATGAGTTGAATCCATCTGAGAGTATGTACAATATTTAATCTGCCATTTGTTATGCTGGTCTCAGTTCCAAAGTGATTTATGGTATAAGCAACTCAAAAAAAACATTAAATTCTTCAAGGTGCATATGTTATACAAGACGGCCTTAAAAAGTAAACCAAATACTTCTTTAAGGAGCTCCACTGAAGAAGTAGTAATATGTCCCAATGCTGGATAATTTCTAAGTATTATTAAGCAATAAGCTAAAATTCCTGAGGAGAGGATATCTACATTCTCTACCTCATTATGAATTAGTATATATGTTGTGTATTATAATTTCATTTTTTAATATTATGAACAAATTTAATATATAAAGAACATATAGCATATAAAACATATAAATAATAATGAAGGAACAACCTAACTTATGAAATACAATATCTCTGATATTATTGAGGTCCCCTCAGTACTCTTTATTCCATCACTTAGTTTGGCCTCCTAGGGTAACTGCCCCCCAAAATGTGACTTTTTTTTGTTTCTCATTGTCTTCTTTGTATAGATTTAATATTTATGTACGCATATGGCCTTAACAATTCACTCCTTTTTTATTGACACTTTTTTTCAAAGATTTATTTATTTATTTATTTATTTATTTATTTAT